AAAAGGTATAAATTCTGTTCTGGAAAATGGCACGCAGACTTTATACTAAAATCTGTATTTCAAGTAACAGTTTGACAAACAAACTTTATAGAATAATTCAGCAAATCCCTTACAGCACACTGACATTGTACTTTCACTACTTAAAAACGAGTAAATGAAGAGTGGGATTATCTTAATTGTAAAGTGATACGTAGGAAATGTGTTTCAGTTGCTTAGTTCAGATTATTTAAGGCTGTATGGTAGCCAAGGAACATAGTGTGAATCGTTTTATACATTTGCGTTCTTGGAGAATAGTTGTTGGTTTCTGTATCCATTTTCATTTTCTTTGACAAAATAAATCAAGGATAGCCATATAGCCACACCGTAGATTGGAGGAGTAATGTTAAGTATCAGGCCCCCTTACAATAAGTGGAATATATTGTAACTACAATTTTAAATACATATTATAACTACAATATGTGGGAGATGCTGAGCACTGTGTTACATAAGACGTGAAATTATCTATATTATTTAAGAAAATCATCCAAAGATTTTTTTTTCTCAAGAGTGATTAGAAGTCCCAGTGCAGCAGAGAGTGTTACTACAAGTTACCTAGAATATTACTTTATACAAATTGCATCAATAAAATGAGGCAGGGTGTCATTTTCAGGGGGTTGTGAAAATTTATTAATTCCTTCTCAAGTCCCCTGGACTGTGTCATAAGCTGTATTCCAAGGCCATGTGGATGGATGTGTTTATTCTCTCACAGAACTGAGATGCAAGATGCTTTCTTTTCTACCAATGCCTCTCCACTCTTCAAAAGGGCAAGAGGTAGGATTCAAGCAACTGCAGGCCAGTCAGCCTCACCTCCATCCCTGGAAAGGAGATGAAACAGCTCATCCTGGATGCCATCTCTAAGCATGTAGAGTGCAAGAAGGTGGTCGGGAGCAGTCAGCATGACTTTGCTAAGGGGAAGTCATTTTTAATCAATCTCATGGCATGTGATGAAGTGACTGGCTGAGTAGATAAGGGGAAAGTAGTGGACAGTGTCTACCTTGACTTCAGCAAGGGCTTCGACACTGTCTGCCATCGTCATGGGCAAGCTCAGGAAGCATGGGATAGGTGAATGGCCAGCGATGTGGATTGAGAACTGACTGGGTGGCAGAGCTCAGAGGGTGGTGATAGGTGGCTCTGCTGCAAAACATCTCTGCAGAGAAGGAGCTGAAATTCCTGATGGACAGGAAGGTGACCAGGAGCCAGCAGTGTGCCCTTGTGGCCAAGAAGGCCAGCGGTCTCTCCTGGGGTGCGTGAGAAAGAGCATTGCCAGTAGAGTGGGGGAGCTGATGCTGCCCCTCTGCTCAGCCTTCCCGAGTCCACACTTGGAGTCCTGTGCAGTTCTGGGCTCCCCAGCACCAGACAGATGCCTTGCTGCAAGAGAGAGACCAGCATAGGGCTGCAAAGCTGATGGCAGACTGGAACCTCTCTCCTCAGAGGAGAGGCTGAAACTGTTTAGCTTGAAGAAGGCAAGACAGAGCGGGGATCTTATCAGTGTGCACTAATACCTTAAGTAGGATATCAAGAGGATGGCGTCAGACACTTCTCAGTGGTGGCTGGTGGTTGGACAAGAGGCAACGGGCACGAAACAAAGCACAGGAAGGTCTGTCTGTGCTTGCTTAAATGTGAGGGTGACAGAGCCACAGGCTGCCCAGAGAGGCTGAGGAGTCTCCTTCTGTGGAGAAACTCAACATGCGTCTGGACGCCACCCTGTGCCAGGTGCTCTGGATGGGCAGGGGGCTTGGACTAGATGATCTCCAGAAGTGATTCGGTAATTCTTTTCATCCTGACTTGGGAAAATCTCCTTACCACTGTTTCCCTTCATAGCTGAACCAACGTAGCTGAAGTGATGTGCAGAATTCCAGCAGGAATATAGTAAAGTGCTAAAGAAAATGTAACAATGAAAAAAAAAAGAAAAAAATTAGTGTTGCAAGCATATTCGAACTCTGATTGCATGTAGCCGTTTTGTCATGTCTTCCTGTATTGAATAGGTAGCTGTAATCTGAAAAGTAATTTTGAAATTAATCATCTTATAAAGAATAAGTGGTTAGCTTCATCCTTAGGAAAATGCTGGTTACATAAAGGATATGGCTAAGTGATGTATTGTGCAGCATTAAAGTTATATACAGGGTTATAGATTGGTCCATTGCTTTGTTATCTTTGAAGTACCATGTCTGCATATCTGGTCTTTTTCAGAGGTTTGTGTGTTTGTTTGAAACTGTGAAAACTTTTTGCTAGTCTTCCACCGAGCAATCTGACATTTGTGGTTTTCAAGCCCTCTCATCTCTAGCAAAAGGGATACCCAATGTTATTCTTGCTAGCTTCTCCTTCAGCTTGCTTTCAACAAGCTTTCTGATCCTTTTTTCTACTTGCTAGGCCCTCATATTTTGTAAGACCTCTTATGGAGAGTATGGACTCTTAGTAGCATGAAATCTTGATAATGTTCTGAACACAGATGCTAAAGCAAATAATGCTTGCAAAGAAAAAGGAAATCATATACATTTCCATGGTCATCATCTAATTGGATTTTTGGATATTGTACAAGCTAGTAGATTTTAGATTCCTCTGTATGTAGAAGCCTGTTCATGTTGAAGATCGAGTTTTTAAAGTTTCTTAAGAATGCAAAGACTGCATATACGTTATGTCTTTCAAAACTCTTATCACAGTATTTTTCTTTCCCCTTAGTTAAATCAAGATCACTAGGCAGCAGTAAAAAAGCAATTCTATTTTTTAAGAGTTATTTAAAAAAAAGACACATCCCAAACTTTTGCTCTTGTTATTTCTTTTGACAGTAGTATTTTTTGTTAGCCCTTTGGTGTTGGTTTCCACTACTTTTATTTTCTCTCTTATGTAATACATCAAGCACGAAATAAGTTTAATTCCTGGACTTCTGAAATAATGATCAGCGATATCTAGCAAAAGCTTATATAGATGTTTGGCTTGGATTTCTGAAGGCAGAAAATGACTTAACTGCATTTTCTTTTCATAGAATGATAGAATGCCCAAGGTTGGAAGGGACCTCAGAGGTCATCGAGTCCACCCCCCTGCTCACGCAGGGTCACCTAGAGCACGTGGCACAGGGCTGCATCCAAGCGGGTTTTAAAGATCTCCAAAGAAGGAGACTCCACAACCTCTCTGGGCAGCCTGTTCCAGTGCTTTGTCACCCGCACAGTGAAGAAATGCTTCCTTAAGTTCCTGTGGAACTTCCGATGCTTCAGTTTGAAGCCATTTCCTGTAGTCCTATCGCTGTCCACCACTGAAAAGAGGCCGCCCCCTCCTCCTCACTGCCTCCCTTGAGGTATTTATACACGCTGATCAGGTCCCCCCTCAGCCTTCTCTTCTCCAGGCTGAACAGGCCCAGCTCCCTCAGCCTTTGCTCATAGGGCAGATGTTCCAGGCCCCTGATCATCCTGGTAGCCCTGCGCTGGACTCTCTCCAGCAGCTCCACATCCCTCTTGTACTGGGGAGCCCAGAACTGGACGCAGTCTCCAGATGTGGCCTCACCAGGGCTGAGTAGAGGGGGATGATCACTTCCCTCGACCTGCTGGAGACGCTTTTCTTAATGCACCCCAGGATCCCGTTGGCCTTCTTGGCCACCAGGGCACACTGCTGCCTCATGGTCAACTTGTCGTCCACCATGACACCCAGGTCCCTCTCTGCGGGACTGCTCTCCAGCAGTTTTTTATTTAGAACCAACAGTTTTTTATTTAGAAAACTGTGTTTTCTTTTATTTATTAATTTTATTTTTATTATTTACTGTTATTTTTTTTCCTAGTCCGATCAGATCCCTCTTTTAAAAAACACAGTAAGACCTTGTAGGACTGTAGAAGTCAAGGAGCTTCCATCTGAACTTTCCTTCACTTAAAAATATTTTTAGAAGGTTTTTTTTTCAGTGTTACAAAGAATTTCATATTTACTGATATAGTATAACGTAGTTTATTATTTATATATCAATGATATATAAAACCCTTAAATGAACCTTTAATATTGGAACATAGTTGTTATTATATCACCACATAGCACTCGAGGAAAGAAAATTGCCCAGATTATATGAAGCATTTATCAGCTGATAAGCAACATATAAATACCTCAGATGAGTTATGATAGTAAGGTGCAAAAAAACCCAAATGCTTTAAATTTCATACTACTAGTTTTCATAAACTAGTTCACGCTGGGAGAGCTGCAGTGTTAACATATGCACAAATGACACCATAGCTGATAATACAGTGCTGGAATATTGGGAAAGCAGGAAAACAATGTTTGGAATCTTTCTGTATTTCAGTACAATCAGTGTGTTAATTTCACCTTATTTTCACAGTAAATCTGTTGTCAAATACTGTTATGATTTTTTGATGATGTATTACAAAGCTTTTTTTTTTTTTCTGGAATATGGTTTACGGGATTGAGTAATGAAATCATTACGGAAGTAAATGTCAAACTAAAGAGTTGTCATTATCTTTCATGAAGGAAATTAAATTATAATATCAGATCCTGAGGGACAGCCAGAATACTAGGGCATCTTGAAGGAGTGATATGAAAAGTAAATAATAACTTCTTACTCTTCCTGATCAGAGTATTTCTACATGTGCTTTTCTGCTGTGTAGCAGTGTTTATATCCTTGTGCTATATAGTATCAGACTGAAACACCTCCTAGAGAACTAGTAAGTGCCTAAGAGTCTGTCTGGTTTTGGCAATGCTTTCTAGAATATGCTTCTGCTTTCTAGAAATACTGGAATCCTGTAGAGCATGTGTCATATGTGATGGTGAGCACCAGAGGCATTCTCCTTATAGCTGGAAGGAGATGCAAGCTCCTATATGTTGATCAGGTGGTATGAAATGTTCACAATCCATCAAAAGATCTTACCCAGCTAGAAGACACTAACAACTGTTTATTTTTACAGCGCATATTATAGCCTCATGCTCTTTTTTATTAAAAAATAAAATTCCTTTACATTGATTTTTTCCAGAGTTTGCTCTGCCATCTCCTTTCTTCTTCTAAATGGGAAAGTAATGAAGCTGAGACCAATACTTTTATTTCAGCTCTTGGCTACACATCAGCAGATTATTATTCTCACTTGGTTAAAAATGTAAGTATTTTGTGCAATTGAGATTTTGTTAATAATAAATCAGCAGTCTATAAGCACATCCATGGAGTTGTCATTGTTATAAGGAACAGGAACTGAACTTTGTTTATCTTTTCTTACCTCAGTTACTCTTAGAGCCTTTTAAGGGAGAAAATGAAATGGGAGATCTCTACAGACAAAGAAAGAAAAAAATGATTAGATAATACTGTTATGCATATTGGTAAAACACTTGTTGCTGCTGTGTTGCAACAAAAAAAAACGGCTTAGCTTTTTCTTGTGGAGTTAACACTGTGGAATTAAAATTAATATATATTATCTTGTTAGAATCTTGTGTTAGAATGTAAGTTTTGGAATCTTTTTGACTGTATGTACTGCATTTAAAATGACAAATTAGCTGTAAGACTTTGGAAAATTGTCTTTTACTGTATGAAATTTATGGGAACAGTATTTAATAATGCAGAATATGAATAGTGTTTCATAATGCCTTATGTAATCATTGGATCAAGCATATAAAAAGTACTAGTAACATTCTTCCAAAACACTCAACTTTTGGGGAGGGAGAGCTAAAATATATTGTTTTCTAGTTGTTAAATAGGAAAGATGTATTTTGCATGTTCACAGAAGGTTTTGCAGCATTTATCTAATAAGTGTTCTGGAAAGCTTTGATTTGGCACCAATAGTTTAAAAATTAAAAAATAAAACTGAGTGGACAAGGAATATTTCTAATTTCCAGAGGTATTCCTCTCATGGAAAATAATGCAGCTAATGTCTGCTTATTTGCAGTGTGTGTATTTTAATGTCATTTGCTTTATTCAATAGATGGTCTCATCACTAGTGACAGAATTGAAAGGAAATCAGTTTAATGGACTTAACGTTCAAGGGAGGTAGGTGTTATCTAAACATCATTTTGGTATGTTTTAGTTTGGATCATTACAGTTCAGTGAGAACCTTTTTACAGGCTCGATCAGGTGTGTGTTTAGGCATCAATTGGAAAAATTTGTGTGATAAAAAGTTTAGAAAATTTCATATATGGACAAGTGTGTTAGGTTGTGCTTCACAGAAGACTTTATACACATGTGCTAGTCAAAACATAGTTAACATAAAGGAAAAGCAAAGCTTTTTTTCCAGAGGAGAAGTTTTTGTTTATGTGAGTGAGTGATAGTTTTGCATGGCTGAATGACAGTTGTTTTGCAATTGTTGTTAATAACATTTGACTGTGCTCATTTAAATAGGCTCTCCCATTTTGCTTACTGTTAGTTCCCTGGTAATTAATAGCATTAATAGCATTGTGGCAGTACTGTGAATCAGATGATAGGACTGAGCAAGTGAACTGTATTTGCCGAAATCTGTGATGAAAAAAAGAAGTTCTAATGTCCTTTCTATTTCAGATAAGAGTAGATTAAGTATATTCCAGCTCTTCTTTCTCCCCTTGCCAAAATATAGCTATTTTTGTATACATCTACCCAAAGTGTCCCTGTTCTTTGAATTGTCTGTATGATTCTTCTCTGCTTACTCTGTTGGTCTTCAAATCCAAAGCTGTACACACCAGTTAAATGTTGCCTCGCCTTAGAAATTTCTTCTCCTTATCTTTCTTCTCATCTTCTTATCAACAGAATTTGTTGATAGTTTTAAGCCTTTTAGCACGGTTTAACCAGCAGAAGGAGAGTATGTTAGTGGGGATATAGTTATTCTACATAGAGAGTGTCGATTGCTTACATTTGAGTTGGGGTAATGCCCTGAACAATCTTTCAATTTCTGAAGGAGTTGTATTGCAATGATGTTCCTTGTCTGATGCTTCTTAAATCTCTTCCCTTGTGTGGGTTGTCTCTTTCTTCCTTTCCTCCTTGCACCTAAATGTCTGCACAAGATAGAGGAAATTATCTCAGTTCATTTAGATTACCATTAGCATTGCACTTGCTGTAGCCCAGTTAATGAGGAGCATCCCAGCATTATCTACTGTAGAAAACAAAAACTGCTTTATAGATTATCATAGGATCACAGAATGTTTAAGGTTGGAAGGGACCTCAGAGGTCATCTAGTCCAACCCCCCTGCACACGCAGGGTCACCTAGAGCACAGGGCACAGGGCTGAGTCCAGGCGGGTTTTAAAGATCTCCAGAGAAGGAGACTCCACAACCTCCCTGGGCAGCCTGTTCCAGGGCTCTGBCACCCTCRCWGTVAARAARTKTTYYCTYAAGTTCCTGTGGAACTTTTGGTGCCTCAGCTTGTGGCCGTTTCCTCTAGTCCTATCGCTGGCCACCACTGAAAAGAGGCCGCCCCCTCCTCCTCACTGCCTCCCTTGAGGTAT